TGAGCCTTTCAGAGAAGATAAGAAATTATAAAATGAAATTTCACTTCCTCCTCTAGAGTTACTAGTCTCTCAATTCCAAAAAAAAAAAAAAAAAAAAAAAAAGACATGCCAAAGAGAGAGGGGGGAATCATTTGGTAGGGATAAAATCAAGAATATGAAAATGCTTGTTTTTGGTATATAGAGGTTAAAGACGAAAGATTTGGCCTGAAAACCCTTCAGACTGTCATAACATATTATATCAGAGGCATTTGTAAACAGTAAAAAAAAGTCACAAAAGAAGAAATTGGAAGACTTATGTCCTTAATCTAGATGTGCCTCTACCCTTTTTGGGCCTCATCTTAATTTACTTTATTTTTCAAATAAGAGAACTAGAAGAAGGAAACTTTACTACATTGACTGATGTAATGCTTCCATGCTAGTTTGTCAAATCTATTTATATGTTAACCCTGCAGGAGTTAATTTTGTTGCTTCTAATAAGTATTCCTCTAAGCTGTGTAGGCAGAGGATTAACAAAATAGAAATGAAAGGTGTGTGTGTGTGTATCATTTCTATATACATATCTCAAACATCAGAAGAATTCGAATAAGAGAATTGTTCTCAAAAGAACCTATACACATGCACTCACACACACAACAATGGAAGAATACAGAGCTTGGTGTTGTCATAATCCACCCAGTGTAAATATAATTGCAACACAATCTACACCACATGGAAGGTTTGTAGCACAATTGGCCATCAAGTGACACCATAGCCATGCTGGGAATATAGGAGTTAGAAAGGCTGTCAGGCTATTATGGGAGAGGGTATTAACACCGAAACTTACTATTCATTTGTAATCATTGTAATCTTTTGAGTTAAGCTATCTGAACACTAGAAATATCAGTCCAGAACAAATGTAGTTGCATCTATTCTAGACAAACAATTTTCTGGCGTAGAGAATATTTCTTCCTTTTTAAACGATCAAAAAATGCACACAAATTCAAATCTCATATTTACAAGTGGCTACCTAAAAAGTAACATGAAGACCATTGATAGGGAAAAGCTTCAGGGAATAAAGTAGATCTAACTAGTACTTGTTATTTTTAAAAAATCCATTCAATATATTGATTTTCCTTTAAAGATAATGCAAGCTGAATGTACTTAATAATTTCTTTCACTTTCTTTCCTTAATGCTTTGGTAATCCACACACAAAAATATCCCCACATAATACTGTTCTATCAAATGACACCATTTTCCAAAATAATGCAACTCTAAGTCAAGATTATCCTTATATTTTTATCATTTTGGTAAGTGGGACAAGCTGAGAGACAAAGTCTAAGGTTACACTTCAGCATACTTTTCCAATTATGGGATTTGGGGAAACAGACTGGAGTTGTAAGCAGTCATCAGGAATAAAGGAGTTATTTCAGAATCAGAAAGTCAATTGAGTGTAACAAACAGAACAGTTGGTATACTTCGGGATGGCTGGTCATGCCATGGTCATTTCAGTCGCACTCAAATTTTGTCAATAGTATCATCTTTGAGGGGCTTGCGTGTGTGTGTGTGCGAGTCATGTTTGTATATGGATGAATGAGCGCACACACACACACACACACACACCATGTTGATGATGAACAGCAGATAGGAATGAAAGAAGAAATAAATAAACTGATTTATTTGGGGGCAGAAACCATGTTTCAACATATTTGTTTCCCCTGCACCCGTGATGCAGTAGATATAACACATTTACATTTGAATGTATTATTTAATAGATGAAAGGATAGAGTAGGAATGAATGAATAAAATGAGAATGTCAATTAAAAGTGGCACGTTAAACGAATCCATCCAGAGATGTGCCTTGGACTTAAATAAGACCAGTACTCTCAGGATGGCAAGAAAGGAAGCTAAAAATAAAACCACATTTCATCTGAGCCTTATTACCTTCCAGCCTTGCATAAATCACTAGAGAATATCGGCGTGATTGGGTTACTTCTGTCTCAAAAACACAAAGGTATTAACCTACTCAATAATCAACTGTATGGCACCTTTCCTGTGGTGCAATTTAGACTGGTAATTAGGAAAATTGTGAAGAACAATAACTCTAAGCATAATATAAAGAATTCTACAGATTTAGTTAGAGCAATGAAATAGTCCAGAGACTGATGCCTGCCCAGGATCATATTGACATTCAGAGAAGTTCAGCTTTCATAAGAATTTTGAACATCCAAAAGACAGTTCTTCCTCACCAAAATAAATTAAAATTGAAAAATTTTATTTGCATGACCTGGAGATTAAATTACATGCATACTTAAACTATATGTGTTTTCAGATGACACTTACTGGCAATGTGAACTTTGTCAAGTTACTTAATTTCCCAAACCTATCTTCTCTTCTGTTAAAATGTGGATAATAATGTCTCCTTCCCTGAGTTAGTATGAAAATTAAATGGAATGAGGTGTGGAAAAGAATTCAGCAAGGGCCGAACAGAGTAGGATCTCTCTCCCGATGTGAATTTCTTCTTTCCTAAATTTCTCATTTTAAGGGTAGAAGCCACGCTGTGGAGGACTGGCCACATTCAATTCACTTCACCCAACGAATAATGAAATTGTGATTATAGACTGATGTCTTATTGCTCAATACACAGCCAACTTCTTCCAACACCTATCTGTCTAGGCCCACTGTGTGGGGGCCACAGGTAAAAGCAGTAAGCATTCTCTCCCAAACTCCTCTCACAATAAACCGCACCAACCAAGTAGCCTTAGCTGCCCAATCACCTAACTTTCTCTGAAATCTCACAGGACAGGGAAGAACAGAAAACTTGAGGAAGAGGAATACAGGGCAGAAGGGACAGGAGGGAATAGGTGAAGTGGAAATTAGATTCCTGGGGGGCCTCTTTAATGACATGTCACCTGCTCTACCTGTAGCAATGACTCTGAGCCTAAATAACACTCAACAGGAATTGTGAGCTTATAAAAGAATTTAACTGTTGACTCAAATATCATTACCCATCTTCACCTCACAGCCACACTCCCTCACAATGACAAGAACTGGCTGGCACGACCCTGAATTGTCACTAGAATGGAATTATTTTGAGTTTTTCAACATCACTCCCAAATCAGGACAAGATTAATATCATGGATCCAACAAGAAAGAGTGGACCCATGTTAAAAAATAAAAAAACAAAAGGCATCATAATAGCAAGTCACAAACTTACATTTTTTATGTATAGTCTAATTAATTTTCACCTTAATTTTTTATTTTAAATTGTGCAAATTCATATTTATCTCACAACCTTAAAATGACATTCTTAAATGACATTTCCTGAATCCCAATGTAGTTTTAATTAACAACCCAATGCTTACAACTCTAAATTATCATGTTCAGCACTGACCCTCAAACTCACACATTCAACAGGCTGGAAAAAGTGTCAGCTTTGGCTTCCCATTGGTCCTTTATGCTTGAACTTGTCAAGTTGGTGCCATTTACTGAAGGAGGAATACACGAGGAAGCTGTCACATTTGTGAAACCTGGTGACTACAGCAATCTCCTACCTGAAACTATTACTAGCTCCCCATTGCCTTTAGAATAAAGCCTGGCTCTGCAGCAAGGTAAAAAGCCCTCCAGTTCTTGTTTCTCACTAGCCTTACTTTTTACCACACCCTTCCTGCCTTGTACATTCCCGTAATTTCAAATTGATTCTAGTCCCATGCACAGATCGCATCCCTCTAGTTCTGCCGGGGATGCCATTCGCATCTTTTTTACCTGAAAGCCTTCCTTTTAGGACAGAACCCTATGGGCACTGTGATCCAATAGCATCCTGCTATGCATGAGCCACCCACAGCCATCTCTGTGAAGAGCCATGTAACTCTAATTAAAATGTCCGTCTCCCCAACATTCTCAGTATATGTTTGGCATATAGAGGCCACTCAATAGCTATTAGCTGTGTTATTACCATTGTGTTGATAATGACAATCATGAAGAACAACACTCATATATATAATGAATAATAGAAAAATCGCCTTAAGAAAATAGTGTTCACAAAATGGTTAGGAAATCCTCCGGAGCCCGAGGGATTATCACAAGAGGGAAACTCTTCTGCAATGGGAAGTTTTAGCAGCAGGTTTCCCTCAGCTAGTCTGGAGAAGATTTGGAAGTTGCATAATCATAATTAAATAGGGCAGCTCTTTTATCTCCCTTTGCTGGCAAACTTTCAGGAGACCGGAGGAGATTTCTATCTACCTACATGTACCAACCAAGCAGTGAAGCTTAAAGAGATGTATATGCATATGTCTCTGCCTTCTGGATTGTCAAATATAACTGGCCTACAAATCCACAACTCAATTCTTGCTAAATGGCACTTTTTCAGCTAAATCCCTGACTGCTTTTTTTTTTTTCCTTTGCTCCATTAGTCATTCTGGCCACATGCATTTTTCCCTTTACATTTAGAATGCAAGTACCATAAAGTCAAGCATCATGTTTGCCTGATTCACTTGAGGATCCAATAGACCAGGTGCCACCCAGACCTTGTCAAATAGCATCTGCTCCATAAATATTTATGGCATAAAATTTTTGAATCCACTAATTGATATTCAATTCTAGACTACATTGCAGGATAATTTTAGTATAAATCCTATCAAAGAGTTAATGCATAAAAATATCCCTTAGAACTGCATTATCCTAAGTTTTATAATATATTAATGCAGCTGTCCTAGCGGTAACTATCTTGTTCATTGTCATCAATTCAGCTAATTTTGTACTCTCAGAGTTGAGTTGAGTAGCTATCTGGAGCTAATGTTTCTCCTCAGTAAGGAATGAGACTAATTATATCTCTAGTCTTTGCCAAATGTGTGAATTCTCTGGAGGTTTTCCAAGTTACTAGTAGGAACACTGCAAATATCCAATGCTTTGGAATGCACATTCAGTTTCTCTTACAATGTCTGTGAGATCAGAATGAATCTTGAAAATAGGGAGATGAATATTTTTCTTTTTATTTAAAAATAGGAATTAAGAGAGCCCTTACCAGAACAGAAGTCATCAGAATATCGGTCATAGACGGCTCCACAGTCCCTTTCATCACACTCACAGGTGTCCCCATGAATATCTCCCCAGTCCCCAGTCGGATCAACATCATGGCAGGAACATTCACCACACACACAAGTCCCTAGATGGGAAAAAGAATATTATACGGGTCCAGTCAGGAAAAACCATGAAAGAAATCATCTTACATGTTCCTTTTTTTCCTGTTGCTTACTTTGTATTTGGAAAACACACACATTCAGATAAATAATATTCTAAAAAAAGGAAAAAATGCCATTTGAAGTTGAGTAGAGATTCCTTAATAAGTAAAGAAAAGTTATTATCTATGTCTATAATTATGTGAGATTGTGGGGTACATCATTAGCATTGCTAGTTTCTCTCAAAGACAATATTGAAATAATTAATATGAGATATAATATTTGCCCTCAAGAAGCTTACAATCTATCTGGCAAAAAGAAAGCAAATAAAAAAAAATTAGCAGACATTAAAAGCATAAGTCCTAACATTTTCTGAACTAGGATATATAATATAAGAGTTTGGGAAAGGGAGGTCAATGTGGGCTACAGTAATAACGAGTAGATGGTCTGGGATTAGGGGCAGGAGGGGAATGTTCTAGAAGCTGTTGGAGGTAGTACTTAAAGAAAGTCGAGAAAGAAAGAATAAGCAAGGAAGGGTGGGATGAGTGTGGGGATCCAGAAGTGCATGTGAAGGAAGATGAAGAAGTAAGGTTTGCTAGATCAGATGACCCTAGGTCATGGAGGACGCTGGAGAATAGACTGAGAGATATAATCTTGGTCATTTGGAGATTTGCACAGGGAAATACCTAGCTGTAAATCACACTTAGTTTGTGTGGTTCATCAGTAATTGTCTTTAGGGCAACCAGCTAATCATTTTGGGGAAAAATAAAGTTAAATTCCTTTCTTACCTCTTACACCAAAAAAAGTACCAGTTGGGTTAAAGATTTAAATGTACAAAATAAAACCATAGAATATGAATAAAATTACTTTTTATTCAAAACCCCTAAAGCAGAATTACTAAAAGGAAAAAGAGAAATTGACTTGACCACATAAAAATCTAAAATTTTGGTTGGGAGGAAACACCATAAATAAACTATAAAAAACTAAAAAAGCCAAAACAAGTATCTTATATGTAAATAAAAGACAAAGAGCACTTTCACAAACATATCACCAATTTTTAGGAATCAACATGTAAGAGATAATATAATATGCCTAAAGCAAAATAGACGAAGCCAAAGGAAATTTCTTAGAGAAGTAATGATAGATAAACATGAAAAATATTTACCACTCAATGAACTATTACTATGAGTTGGAGGAGATCTTTAAAAAAATAGTGAGTTAGAATTATTTTGGATGTCAGCTTATCAGAGGTGAAAAAGAGTGCTAGCATCCAGAGTCGAAGGTGTGGGATAACTCATACTCTCCTGCTCTGACATGGAGTACAAAATGGTACAACTTTCTGGGTGGTGATTTCACCACATAAACTTTGTACATGTGTGCATTACTATTTAGCATCATAGTCCACTTTAATTAGTGTATACAACAGAAAAGAAAAGTACACTAAAGTACATGTTCAGGAATATAAAATAAGTTTGTATTTATGTTATGGAAATACTGCTAGTGACGAAAATATCAACTGATGGGGAAATAGTGCAGTAATAAATGGTATATGCATAACAGTGTGGTCTACAAAGCCACTGTCAGAGTAATAATTAGGTTTTTACTCTATGAAAAAGACATAGAAAGATAAGCAAAATATATCATTAAATGAAAAAAATCAAAACACAAATCTTTATGTGTGGTATGACTCAATTTTTATGTTAAATAAGAAAAGATACAAGTGGGAAAGGAACTTGTGCAAGTAAATTTGCATAAATAGACAAAGACAAATAAATAAATAAAAATAGATTGAAAGGTCATGTACCAAAATGTAAAAGGAGGTTATATCTGAACGTTAAAATGATAGGTCATTTTATTTTTGTTCTTTACACTCTATTAAGTGGATTTTAACAAGCAGATATGCACTGTTTTCATAATACTATAAATGAATTGGGGTGGGGGTGCTGGAGCAGGGACAACCGGCCATGCAGATCTGATGAAGTACCTTCTCAGGCACGTGCAAAAGCAGGTCCGATATGAAACAATAAACCATGTGGGCAACAGAGGACATTTATTCTGTCCCCAGTTAGTGGTGTCTGCAACATTGTTTATTTGGCCCCGGAAGATGGGCGAGAAGGGAGACGGAGTACATATGTGCAGAGACCAGTGTCTCCCTTCTCCCTAGGGAAGCCAAAAAAGGGAAATTGTTCCAAGGTAGACACAGGTGATGCCTCCTGAAGTACAAAGGACTCATCCCGGTGTCCACTCCTACCTTCCTGCCTGTCTCTCTGAATCTCACGAGGAGCCGCGAGCCTCACTGAGGCAAGCTGCTTCCCATTCAGCCTTGAGCGCTCCAAGCACAGGGAAGGGACACAGGCACGGCCTTGGGCAGTGGCATAGCGTGTGATTCTGAAGGACGTCTGTCTCTCGGAGCCCACATAACCTGCAGCAAAACCTGAACCTCATCCACTGCCCAACCAACTTGACTTCCGTCCTCTCTTTTCAACATCTAAATGGCTGTTTTCCACAATTACACAGTTAAAAGCCTCATATACTAACAGTTAAAGCTTCATATAATAACAAAGGGTAATCACGAACCCTATTGAAGAAAAGAAAAACTTTAGACAATACGTCCTTACATATTGAAAGAAAACATAAAGTGAATTCGTATGATACATATAGTAAGACCTAGTTTGCATAGAGAGGACTTTATGATTTTTTTTTTCCAAGTTCAGGCCTTTTGCTTACCCTTCTATATGTACAAAACTGTGGCACATTTTAATCTTCTGTGTCACTTTTTAAAAGGTTGTGTATTAAGGCTTTCCATGTGAGAATTATGTATTAAAATTCATCACTAATTTAAAGAAACAAAAAAATAACAATTTTACAACCATCTAGATTTTTATACTTCTATAGAATAAAATATGGCCATTTATTTATGTCATCAGGTAGGCAATGAAAAGTCCAGAATGGCTCTCTTTTATCTACCAGTACAGCAGATAATGGGAAAAATAAAAAGCATTTTCAAGGATTTTTTAAAAAGTATTTAAGCTATTTAATTTTATATTAATAGGTAGTTAAATAATTTTAAATGTTTTAGCAATATTCATATATTTTTAAAATTCCTGTTTAAGGTCAGTCTAAATTTCAAATGGATATTTCTTTCAATATTTATTGTGTTCAATATCACGTTTTTATTATTGCATATAGAAGTTAAATTAGTCTAGATCAATTCTGCATTTTAACCAAGCCTTCAATTTACTCATAATTAAGGCAAGAGGGTTATCTGAATTCTCTCTGGATAATTAGATGCTCATGCTGTAGATGGTTGTGTTAGTCAAGAGACATTTAACAGAGGTATCCACAAGAATTGCCTTTTAGCTGTACTGTGCTATTTCTGGATGGCCGCCAAGGAAATTACAGTCCTTATGTTAACTGTTTGTTCAGTGAAGCTTAAAGAATGACAGCAACTTTCTTATCTTTCTGTTTCCTACTCAATAAGAACAAGAAAGAGAAGACTGTTGGTAAATACATGTTGATTTACATAAAAGTAAATGATATAAAAGATGACTTCCTCCCAACTAAAAAGGAAATACAGAGAAATTGTTAACAGTTATAGGCTTTGTTTTCCTCCCATTTATGGAGTAATGTGTATGAATGACACACCTCTGTTGCTGCAGATCTTGCCATCTGGAGATGTGCATCTCCGCTTGCTTTCCCAGGGGGTGATGTCGCACTGGAATTCACATTTATCTCCATGCCAACCAGCCTCGCAGTAACAGTTTCCACAGTAACACTTCCCATGGCCTTTACCCAAAATGAATTTTATACAGTGAGAAAAAAAAAGCAACTTTTAAAAGCAGAAATAACTTTCTACCTCTCTGTGATTATTTTTGCCTTTCGAAATAATATAAAAGTTCCACTTCCCTTGCTTAATCAAATTATATCGTTTCTCCCAAAAACATTATAATTGCACTATACCTGTATAATCATACAAATAAAACAAACCACAGTGTCCTTTCAGTTGGCCTAGACAGAAAGCTGATTAAAATAAAGGTATTTTAAAAGAAATGACATGAAAGACTGTGAAAGTGTATTACTTTGCTATCTCAAATGCACACATCACACTCAAATGCATGTAAGCATTCGCTCTGAGGGCATTTCTTGAAATGGTTGTTAAAATATTTCATTGGAAATCAACTATTGAGAAATCCATGGTGCATTCACTTAGATACACATTATTAATGGCCAAACCATTTTTTAAACCAGGGGAAATATTTCATCTTTTCATTCAACTGTGTCCCACAAGCTGTTGTGCTCCACCATGCAGAAATGAGGTTTTCAGCTAAGTCAATATTTATTGCTGGTTTAGACCAATAGAACAGTGGACTCTTGGTCTCACAATCAAATTCAAAATCATAGGCAAGGGCACCCATCATTCTGCATCCAGATGCCACCCTTTCAGCTCACACCTCTCTATGACCTGTTCCCTGTGCATTTGTGTTTCCTTTAAGCCACCTGTAATGAACTGTCACATCATTGCATCCCCATCCATGCTAGCAACACTTCTACAAATTCCCAAAAGATTAAAGTTACTCCCAAATTCACTTCTTATGCCTTCTCTTCTTTGTGCTCATGTCACCTAAGCATAAATGTATGTCCTTGTTCTTGGCATGTTTTTCAGTCTATTCCTTCCGTGTTCTACAGGAGCTTGTCTTATCACTCTACGGCTAGACTCTTTGTTCTTCGATCCCTCTTCTATAGCCATGATCCTGGAAGGCCCATGGAAAACTGATTATGAGGCTATTTGTCATTCTCTTCAGAGCATATCTTTCATTCTAACACTATAGCATCTCTGGCCAATGGCAAGAGCATTATTAGTAGGGCCTACGAAACTCGTATAAGTGGGAAATACAATAGAATATTCTGGTCTCGGGCCGGCCCGGTGGCGCACTGGATAGTGCGCCGCTTGGGAAGCACGGTGGCGCTCCCGTCCGAGGGTTCGGATCCCACATACCGACCGGCTCCCGCTCACTGGCTGAGCGAGGTGCGGGAGCAACACCGAGGGTTGCGATCCCGTTGCCGGTCCCCGGTCCGGTACGGGGGCAACACTGAGGGTTGCGATCCGTTGCCGGACACGGAAAAAGACAAAAAGACAAAAAAAAAAAAAAAAGAATATTCTGGTCTCCTATGCTCTTCATGTCCAGCGGATGAGACTCCCATCAAGCAGACATACATTACAGAGACAGAGAGAAGGAAGAGAGAGTCCTGCACTGAGACAGAGGAAAGACAGGGACCCAAGTACACGATGCTGTGTTTTCTGAATAAGTGAACTATGATTGGTATCCATACAAAACCTCCTTTTAACCTAATAGACAATGACCATCTCTATTACACATTTTAATTTGAAGTTTATTCACTAAAGAAAATGCAAAGATAATCAAGTTATCTTATCAGTAACAAAATATATCATCTATACATTTTATTTATAGAAAACCTCCTTGTAACCTAATAGACAATGACCATTTCTACTACACATTTTAATTTAAATTTGTTCACTAAAGCGAATGCAAAGATGATCAGCTTCTCTTATCAGTAACAAAATATATCATCTATATATTTTATTTATTAACTTTGAAAGATCTCTACATGTACGCAGAACAAAAACCACATTCCAGTGCCTCACATGCCTCAGGAACTAAAGGATTACATAGGGGAAAAGGAGGACTGTACAGTCACTGCTTTTCCTATGAGTCAGGTTTCATAAGACTCGGTCACTTAGACTATAGAATTTATTTTCTCTGTAATTTCAGGAAATTTATACATAAGGTGCTATATATGTAAGGATTACCATGATATTAACAAATAACCATAAATCTACATTCCTCACACCAAAATTCTTTGTATATTTATAAAATCTAGTATTGAGTTAGGGTTTTACTATAAAATCATTGAGATTGGGGTGAATAAGAAACAAAAATTACATAAAGCCACATCTGTATGCAGTTATGGGAAATTAAACAGATATCCACGACTCAATTGAAAATATTTTAACAAGACACATCTGGATAATTGAGATGTAAGCTTCAGGACAATACATATTATAGACAATAAACATAATTCTTTGATTTTTGTAAACTGATAGAGCAAGACAATCTCTTTTTGTATTGCCTCACTGACGAACTATGGAATCGTTTCCCAACAGATTAGTTTCATGTGAATGACACATGGAAAGCTCAACAATCTTAGGCAGTGTCACCCCCAGTGAGTGTTTACTGGAGTGCTGGTGTCCGTGGCCAGAGACTTTGTGCCATAAAATTGCTTAAGCCTCAAACAAATGGAAATAGCAAGCAGAAAGGCTGAGAGTTAAACATTTTCTGTTGTGTAGTTTCAAGTTAAATTTCTATATTTATACTCGCAAATAGATTGTGCTTTGGTAGTGTATATCAGAACACACTGGCCCCAAAGTATGGTCCTTTCATACTGTACTATTTATATCTGTAATAATTGGAAATGAAACACCAAGAGGACAAATACATAGTATTTGTGTAGATTTGTCAAATTGTTCTAATTATTTTGGACTGAGCCCCTTAGGAAAGTTGTCTGAGCAGTACCTAGCTTAGGTCACTGGCTTGGAAAAGTGAACTGAAGATTTTGGGGGTTGTTTTATCTTGGTGCGTTGTACAGCCAAGAGACCAGAAAGAAAGCACCAAGCAGGCCTAAAAGAAGAGTATCTGGATGACCACAGGAATCGAATCTACAGAAATGTAAACAGAGGGACAAGCTTGTCATATGCTAGTGACACTTTCTCAGGGTACCCTGGTTCTTCTTGGTTCCATTTGCCCCAATCCTTCCAGAGAAAATACTTTTCTGAAACTACCCTTTCCTCATGCAGGATAAGACTCCTGCAGAGATCAGTGAAATGTAAGTTTAATAACAGCAGAGAAGAATTTACCTAAACTGAAGTGATTATCACTGCTCTCTCCTTTTCCTGCACCAGTCAAGGTTGCAAATGGAAACTCTGGGCACAGGCGTGCAGGTCAGGATCACAGTCTGGCGTCAGGCAGACATGGGTCAAAATTCTACCATAGAGGGTGAAATGACCCTGGGTAAGTTATCTAATTTACCCAAGGCCCAGTTTCCACCTCTGCCTTTGTGAATAAAAATAATTCCTACCTTAGAGTGGCACTGCCAAACTTAACATAATGAACGTAAAGCACTTATTGCAGCACTGGGAACTAGCAAACATGCAAGAACTGACAGTAACAAAAGAAACATTGACTGAGCAATGGCGGTACACAGAAAAGGTCATGACAAATGTTACCTAAGTGTGCGTGTGGGTGGAGCCAGGGGATGTAAACTCCAGGCTCACAATCCTACTGGCCTTTCATGTCCCCAATAAAACATGAGACTATTTAAAGGATTATGGTTTAGAAAGGGAAAGAGAATGAAATTAAAACATACAGATAAGAGATTAGAAGAAAGGAGACAAAATAAGAGTGGCTCAGGTGAGCAGGAAAGATGACATCCCATACACCCACTTCAGAGCCATGCAGCTGGCCTGCTGCCATAATGACATGGCTCACCTTTGGGGACAATCCCATTTTGAATTTTAAAAGTACTGGTCTACTCTAAATACCTTAGTCTAAGTCTCCTTATGTGAAGTGTTCTCCAACTAAACATAGGTTAAAATTGAATTAGTACACCTACAGCAGAAATTTATAGAGCTAAAGGTACAATAAAGTAGGTGAAAACCAGGAACTAATATTAATTTCTACAGAGTTAATGTACATACCTCCACATACTTCTTCTGTTTCATCATCTATGCATTCTCCATCATCACACTCACAAAATTTACCATAAACGAGTCCATTTCCATCTGAATTATCACACTTACACCTGCCACAGTGACATGTCCCTAAACCATTAAAACAAAGAAAAGATTGTTACATGTACATAAATTCAAATTAATGCATTTTTATCCTGTCTCTTTCAAGAGAGTAAACAATTCAAATCAATATAACATTCCAATTAAGTATTTCTGTGAGTATGATGAGATAGAGCTATTCTGTCTTGAGATTATCATAGCACAGCAATTATATTTTAGATCACACAGCTATTAATATTGACCTCTCATAGTTCAATGAATATAAATTTGACCTCCCGAAGTACAGAGCTACTTTATACATGTCCCTCCAATCAATGCATGAATGAATATCTTCTGATTACACCTGGATCTGAAGTAAACCAAAGCAGAAAACTTTAAGCTTTGTGAGAGAAGTAACCTTGCTTATCTTCCTAACCAGTATGTATTCAATGCTTTGCACAATGTTTGAACATACTATTTATGTAATAAATATTTGTGGAAATAATTCATTATCAAATGCATAAATGAAAAACCTATATGCTCCTAATAATTTCACATCCTCCGCATTAACTGATACATGTGCTCTCACAATGATGGGACCAAAGTGGTTTTCCTTAGGCATAGGTTCCTGGGAGCTCACCAGAACTTTGAGGGAGCTCAGAGTGACACAGAGGCACTGGGGTCATCTGGTCTACCATAAGCCGCATACTCATCCAAGTCTGAGGATTTGCCTACATCACACAAGAGTGATTTCACTGACAGCAATATTGCATTCAAATGATATTGAGAGGTAGAATGTCCACTTGAGGAATTTCCTTTTTAATTTATATTTTTTAAATTTTTAATTGATCTCAGCAATCAACATATGTCAATTGAGACATTATCACTCACTAAACACCACCCTAGACTCTGGGAATCCAACTGGGGATCGATTCAGACATAAACCTCCTTTCAGTGTTTTATGTGAGTAAAAATCAATGTGATAAAATAAACAGAGAAGTGCAAAGTGTGGCAAAAGCACATGGCAAGGGGATTTAACTGAGACCCAAAGGTCAAAGACAGAGTCCCCGAGAAGTAGCCAAGAACTGAAAGCCACATTAAAAAAATAACTGAGAGAAGTGAGACAGTGGAGAGGCCCACTCCCAGCAAGAGACGGTAGCAAAGGCTCTGGGGTAAAAGAGGGTGTAAGAGGGAAAAACATCAAACAGGGCTGGAGTATACAAAATAATGTGGAAAATAACACGAAATGAAGAAGGCAACTAAAGTGCAGTTTATGGAAGTCTTACACATCCTGGTAAAGATTTCCAACTTTAATCTGGGAATAATAAGCCACAGAAGTGTTCTCGGCCAGGGAGTCATGTGATCGGGTGGCACTTTCACCAGATCACTCTGATTGTCCTGTGGAGAATGAACTGAAATGAGGCAAAAATGGACAGGAGGAAATGAGTTGGGGCAGCTAAATTTGTCAGTGGGAAAGAAGATAGAGGCTGGACAGATAATGGCAACAGATTTAGAAAGAAGCAAATACATCTGCAGATATTTTCAGGAGAAAGAATAAATGGCACTGGGTGAGCGACTGGGTGAGGGGTGAAGGACGGGGAGGAACGAAAGATGACACCGATGTTTGGCATAAACTACGGGATACTGGCAATTGTGTATGTGGTATACAGGAGAAAGCATGGACTCTGGACTAAGGCAGACCTGTAACTGAATGTACGTTTTGATCCTCACTAGCTATGCATTTTTGAGGTTGTTACTTCATATCTAATTCTCAGATTCCACATCTACAAAAAGTCTCTACTTCATAGAACTGCTGTGAGGACCAAGTGATAAGCATATCACCTGGTGATCTTCCTAAAAACACTGCTGTGTCTAGTACATAACAGGCTTTCAGAAAGTTTTGGATTCTTTCTCTTCTCCTATTAAGATGCTAAGTATATTAGTCATGTTCCCAAATATTTTCCCCACACTCATCTTATATTTACGGACCCTGAAAATATCCTTGCTTTCATATCCTCTACATGATTCTGCTACCCAGATAACTTTTATTAAAATTCATTTTCTTATCTTTTTCTTCCTGGAAAATTAATTAATTTATAAAAGTTATCTGAAATCTAATGTTTTAATTCATGGTATTGCTTCATCTATTTTTTTTCTAATTATCGCCCTTTTTTTACATATTTATTCACTTTGTCTCTCAACCACCATATATCCAGTAATTACACATTCTTGTTATGTTATTGACAAAGTATTAGGTTCCTTAGGAGATAATAAGATAACAAAAATTAAGTAAATCATAGACCAAGAAAAAGGAAATATATATTTGAGTGCTGTACTGTAGTGTATACACACACACACACACACACACACACACACACACACACACAAAGACTTTAAAACATTCATTGGAAGATTTGTATTATCTTTTAATTCTATTTTTCCATGAACTTTTTGAAGTACCCTTGCACATGTGTATGTATAATATATATCCATATACATACTGAATATATTTTAAATATATATATATATAACCAGAACACAAATGACACAAAGGCATTTGTGGCAAATGCTATATAAAACTTAGAAGCCTCAGTCTGGCTCTGCGCAGGAGGAAAGGCACACTTAAGGAGTAAATTCTTGAGCTGGCATCTGATATATGGATAGAATTTCAACAAGTGCAGAGAAAATAGAGATTTCTGATGTTGAGGAAAGAGGAGGAGGAATAAGGATGGAAAATTAATGAACAGTGAAGAGTCTGGCTGGTGTTTGGAGAAAAAGAATAATTGAAAGCAGATAGTAGAGAATTAAGAATATCGGTTAAACAGTTTAAATTTTATCTGTTGGAACCAGGAGCCTTTCGTGGCTTGGGAGCGGGGAGTAGCTTGGTTAGGGCTGTGTATGCAGAAGTTTCTTTTTCAGGAAAGATGGGAAACAGCAGCCTCTGCCTCTGAATTCTACCACTCCTCCCTGACGTCCCCCACACGCAGGCTCGCTCTTATCCACACATCCGAACCATTCCTGGCTGATGTGGGAAGTTTACAGCAGCCCAGAGACTTCCTGTCTCACCCATCAAGCAGAATTCACAACTGAGCCTCCAAGGCATGGCATACGGAAGCCCTGGCAAAGGTGCCAGACTCCTGAGTTCCCGCTGTGTCGTGCTGCTTTTCTTCCTTGGTTGCCAGTTAACTTAGTCCCCAGGACTGGTCTTCTGTTTATGCTAGATTGTTTTACCTCTGGTTTTTCATACTGCCTAATAGAGCTGACTCTCTTACCAGACTTGAACGCCAGCCTACAAGCCTGTGCAATGGTGCTGAAGCCTCGCCTTTCTGGGTCCCCTACAGAGTCAGCTTCTGGAATTCCATCTCATCCTGCCCTTCAGTGGTATGTCCTACTCTGTTTCCCTCCTCTTCCCCTTCTGGTCCAAGCTGCTTCCAGAAAAACCACATTGTGGTATGAAAGGGAATAATTAGTAGAGAAAACCCACAGGCTAATGAGATTTGGGGGGAGTGTCCTGAAGTAGGCTGGTGGAAGTAGATATTAAAAGAAAGACAGGTGAGAATGAGATTGCAAAAGCAGACATGAAAAGCTTAAAAAGTGAGATGAGAGCAAGGGAGAAAGAAAAGATTAAATGAAACACTGAGTATAAATTTACCTTTGGCCCCAGAAGTCTCACTTCTTTAGGGTAATTTACCCTAAAGATACACCTCCAAAAATATGAAAATACACATGCACCAGATCGTTCCATGCATTATAATTTGCAATTTCAAAATATTGGGAACTGTTTAAATGCCCAAACATAGGAGATTGATTGAATCAACTATGCCACAGAATTCAGTTCTATGCTTTTGAAAATAGAATGACAAAAATTTCTACAAACTGGTATAGAGTGTGTGTGCTACCTTTCGTACAGAAAAAAATAACGCATACAAAACATATCTTTATTTATATTTATGAAAAGAAACATATACAGATAAAGCAGGAAGCAGCAAAGTTGGTTACCTATAAGGTTGAGGGAAAGCAGAGTGGAAAATTTAATGAAAAAAGCAATGATTCTCTGAGTATGCTTTTTTGCATAGTTTTTGACTTTTGAAAGTATATTGTGTTCTACATATTATAAAATATAATTATATTAATGAAGTGGGAAGGAACAAAAAAAGACCTAAAACTGACAGCAATCTGAAATAAATAAGCTCAAGTGTACTTCAGATGAGTACCATAACCACCCTAAAGGGAAAGTAAATAAAAGGAATCCAAGTAACTCATAAACAGCATTTGACCACATACCTAATCTTGGGCATGACTGGGTGGAGTGAGGGCGGGGGAGGGGTGGATCGCAAAAGAGTCCTGATCTTTTTTGGTAGATTGGTTTCGTACAGTGGTGTGTATGAAGCAATTCTAAAAATAACTGTAGTTGTAGTATAGGACTGAGCAAAGGAATAAACATGTTGGCAGTGTTGGGAGCCAGGGTTCTTACTGTGGAAATGGGACACGTGAATACAGAATGAGAAAAACAAGAAATAACCCCATGGGAATGGATCGGAATTAGTTGCAGTGGTATAAATTCATGATTTCTAAATACATACACATATGTATATGTATATGCCTATATGTGTGCAAGTATGTCTATGGATATTCATGTGCTTGTGTATATACATGCATATATTTACTAGCGTTAAAGTAAATTGGAACGGGGACCAGGTCTGAAGAATCCCTGAGTGGACAATGCCAGTTAGGTCTCATGAGTGACCTTAACCTTGTTTGATTTGAAAAGATAAGTAAAACTTACCTTGAGCTTTTTCTTATAAATGCTTTAAAGAAAAACAGAATTTAAGGGCAACCAATCAGCAGCAACCAACAAACAGATAATAGAGACTTTCCAATGGGATAGACCGAATCTGGCCATTTGACAACTGTAATCAATCAAATATTTTCATTTGCTCAACTTTCATGTTCGTCCTATAAAAGCCTCCTTCTTGCATTCCCTCAGTGGAGTTCCTTGACCACGTCAGGTTTGGAACTTCCCAAGTCATAAGTTGTGTCTCACTTTACTTTTGTGACACCAGCCTGTTTTCAGAAAGGGCCAAGAAGCAAAGATACCACAGTGGAAATAAGCATGCCCAGTGCTCACAATTTTTATTCTAATACCATCCTTCACTAAAAAGAACCAGAGCTTTTTGTAGAAATGGCTGATACCAAAGCTGTGGAAAGGCAGGTACAATATGACCTTGGAATATTTTGTTATGCCAAAAAGTAAAAAACAAAATTGCTAAAAACAAAGAAAACAATGAAGGCTTGTTACAAGGACACAAAAGCTAGCCTGAAGGGGCTCCAACACCGAATCTCGTATAATTTGTGCACCAGAATAAATAAGTACAGAAATGAATAATAAACCATTGAAACAATAGGAATTATGATTCCAGACTGATAATAAATCACTAAGTAAATAAAATATCAAATAATTGATCAGTGAGAGAGGACTCTCATTTGTAGAAGAACCTTGAATGCCACTTGGTAAATGTGGAGGGAATCTTGGAGTTTAGAAATCGTCATTTTTCTATCATCATTGAAAACACTGGATCAGGTGAGAGCTAGGAACGGATGATAAATCTAGGGTAATTGTAACTAAAAATGGGATATTTGTATGGTTTAAAATTGTTTGCCCACAGGCTGCTCATTTGTGAAAAGGGTAAATCAGTAATAACAGAGTTGAGACATCAGAGAATACTTGATCAGTTGATCAAAACTGACTTCAATGAGAGCAGATGGACATCACATGCTTCCAGATGAAGCACCTTGAAAATGAAAAATCATCTATTTAATATTTCACCTAAGAAAGTATAAAATGAATCTAATTATGAGGAGGCATCGGACAAATTCAAAATGAGTAACATTTTATTAGAAAAAAACATGACAATTTTCTTCAAAATTGTCAGTGCTATAAAGCCTAGGTCTATGGAAATGATCCAGATCAATAAAGGCTAAAGATAGATGACAACTAAACATAACATCATCCTTAGACTGGATCCTGTCAGGAGGGAAAATCTGCTATAAAGGACATTATTGGGTCAATTGACAAAACAGGACTATGGATGGTAAATTACATAAAAGTATTGGATCAATGTTTGTTTTTAACCACCAACCCCCCTCCCAAAAAAAGTAGAGGTACAGATATCTTAGAAATGTGTTTTATATTTTACCAAATATGTTTTATTATCTATTGAAGCAATTCTGTATATTTTCTCCTTTAAGATATGTTAATGTGGTGAAGTATGTGTTTAGATTTCTTTGTGTTGATACATCTTTGGATTTCTAGACTAAACTTGATTTGGTTATAATGTATTATTGAAAAAACAAAAAACCTGGATTTGATTTTCAAATGAACACTAAATATATAAATTTGAAAACAGATAATTCAAGTCCAAAACAGAATTCAAGTCCTGTTACTAAAAGAAGTTTGAAAAGAATGAATTTTTTTCAAGATGAAAGAGGCCATGGGGTGGATGGGTGTGGGGTGTGTGTGTGTGTGTGTGTGTGTGTGTGTGTGTGTGTGTGTGTGTAGGGTTGAGTGTTATAAGTTGAAGGTAGAGAAATCTCACTGAGAGGAAAGAAAAGACTGAAGTGCTGGAGAGGAGTGAGGAAAATATCTTGAATACAGAGAGTGACCTGACTGCTGAGACCATCTGTCATGGTCTGACTGCTTCGCTCAGACCTTGCTTTGAGTATGGCACTGATTCCTATTAGCAATACATCCTTACTGAGCTTAATCTACACCAAGCAATTTGTTGCAATCAAACTGAATAAGTCCTAGCTCTGATTGCAGAAGGGCCTTACCAATAACGTGAGTTTTAGCATGGGAGATATTCATCAGTGCAGCTGAACCCTCACCTTTAACATGTACATAGAACAGTGGCTTGGACCCCTGAATCTACATTAGAATTACCCAGACAGCTTTAAAAGCTGAAGTACAGGCCACACCCAAAAGCCACTGACTCAGAACCTCCTCAGGACAGGAGCATTGACATTTTATTACTTTCCCCTTGGGATTCTCATGTTCGACCATGGAAAAACTCACTTTAAGCCTCCACAAGCTCAGATGTTAAAAGAGTATTTAATTATAGTAACTAACTGGCTAAATACCATTGAAACTTCAACTGCAACTGCTTTGTTTTATGTGATTTTGCTCATCAAATTTAACAGCTTCTCTGTCATTTCATAATAAATATTTTTAAATGACTTCTATGAAATACAAAAATATTTTTGTCAAAGAAAAACTCTTGCTGTCACTATATCCTTCAGGGAGCTTCATATCCAGTACATCTGAAACCTCTATCAAATTACAAAGATTTGTTTCTATTTGATGCTAAGGTATGCATCCTTATCTGTAACAGAAAATAGTTGTCAATTTATATAAATTATTTTTTAAAAATTTAATCCAACATTCAAAATCATGGCTCACAATTCACATACAGTTTTGTTTCCAGTGAATATCCTACTCGAAGGAGGCATTTGGAACAGCTGGAGAGTTTCAAACTTGCCAGTCTCAGCAAGATGACATTTTTTTCTATTGATTTATTTGAATTTTACTTTTAAAAAATATACTCAAAAGCATTCTCACTCAGAGGCTCGACATTTCTTCACACCTACATATTTCCACTAAATACAAAATTTGATGATTTCACTTAAGAATGTTATAGGCCATAATACTTACCTGCATTTGAGCAGATGATATCTTGAGAATTCTTGCACATTTGGTTACTTTTTTTCTTTGTCAGGTCGCAGTTAGTTGGGTACTGGCAAGCATCCCCAGACCATCCCTCGTCACATTTGCACTTGCCACAGTCGCACTGCCCATGGCCTGAGGATGTAAAAACATCCAATTAGACGCAAATCTTTTTCCAAAGGAAACCATCTCTGTAACTAAAACTCTTAAGGGTGATGTTGGTTCAGAACTAATCTATAATAAATAGAAACACATGGATATCACATATGAGGGGTAATGCTATTATACAGTGAAATGAAACACGGTAATTTTATTTCAATAATCAACTTTGATAAATGATAGTGAAAACATTGAATTAATTCATAGTAACATTAGGATAATACACCAGAATTTTAGTAAATCACATGGTCAAAATATTCAGCAATAAAAAAATTTCACCCAGCACCTCGGCATTTAAGAGACAAAAGCCCAGTAGAAATTATTTCTACTTAATTGAATTTTATAACACATAAAACCACAAACCCAGAGTAAGGAATCTTACTCCACTAAACAAAACATTGGCTTTATATTTATTTGAATTGAACATGTAATAGAATTTTATGGATGTATTAAATACCACCTTGGGATACAACTGACATAAAAATAAGTATATTGCTTCATATTCATCTACCTCCACAAAAATTTCTCAAACTTCAATGCTCTTGATCATCATTTTGCTTTAAGGCAATGCTGCTCTTACTGTTGTGATTGTTAATTTCATTAAGTCCTGCTTGATGAAGCCTACTAATGTTTCTATAGACTGCACATTAGTCTGACAGAAGTTCAAAACACATACAATACTTGGCCCTTGTCCTCAAAGAACTTACAGACTTCAAAGTCAAGGCTGAAATACAGAGAAGTTGATGTTGTTGCCAGCCAGAAGTGTTCGTCAGCTTGTATTAAGTTGAGTAATACAGTCTATGACCTACAGAAATAGGAGGGGAGACTTTCTGGACTTCTTTGACCTTTAATAAGCCTTGAAAGTTGAATGGAGTTTGAATGGGTTTTAGAAAAGATATTCTTATATTATTCAAGATAAGAATACTAGGTCAATTTCTGAAATTCATAGACCACATGGAATGGAATCACTGATCTGGTGTCAAGAGTCATTCAATGTGGCAGCCAAAGTCCACAGGATGAGGTCCAGATGGTCATACAGAATGAATGACTGAGGCTGTCCATCTGGGCATGTTCGGCAGAGCCTGAATCTGTGATTGGCTGTGACTTTAAAACTCCTCTTCATGTGGTCCAGTTCATGCAAATGTTTTTATCTCTGTTGCATTTGTCAAACTAATTATTCTGTTTTACAAACAAAACCCTGCAAGTACCCTAATTGAAATTCACTTTATTAAGTGCACATCATTCCATCAAATTGATTGTATCATTTTGCATTCCTGTCTTGCCCTACATGGTATTGTCAATCTTGGCCAAGTTGATATCATTTACAAGCATAAGTGATCTCTCCTGTCAACTGTCCAGTCTATTTATAAAAGTATTAAGCCAAATTCTTGAAGTGGCTAAGTAAGCATCTTTTGGTAAATTAAGTATCTTGGAAACTATTGACTCTTTTCATAATATTAGTGTATTAGGTTGAACTACATGAAATTGCCACTTTTGTAAGCTGAACGTCAGCTCTTTCTTATACTTTATCCCAATAAAAAGGCTTCATAACAGCAGACAAGAAAATAGAAATAATTTAAAAGATAAAGAATTATGGTAGTAATGATGTGCTGAATCAATAATAAAAGACTACTCGATGTTTCTTTTATATCAGATAAGATATCTTAGGTCCTAACCTGAGGTATACACAGGAGAGATGGGTAAGGTTTGAGGGTCAAAGATAACGGATTTTTAAAAAGGGGAGAGGTGTTTCTTTAAACACTAAAAATAGAACTTCCATATGATCCAGCAATCTCACTGCTGAGTATTTATCCAAAGGGAAGGAAATTACCGTACTGAAGAGATGTCTGCACCCCCATGTTTACTGCAGCACTACTCACAATATCCAAGATATGGAATCAACCTAGATGTACATGGACAGATGAATGGATAAAGAATATGTGGTATATATACACAACTGAATGCTACTCAGCCATGAAAAAGGATGCAATCCTGTCATTTGCGGCAGCATAGATGAGCTTGGAAGACCAAATGTTAAGCAAAATAAGCACAGAAAGATAAATACCACATGTTTGTCCTCATATATGGGAGCTGAAAAAAAATTGAGTTTATAGAAGTAGAGAGTAGAATTGTGGTTACTCGAGGCTGGGAAGGGGGAGGGGGAAAGGGGAAGGGGAATGGTTAATGGATACAAAATTATAGCTAGATGGAAAAAGTAAGTTCTAGTGGTCTACAGTAGTGCTAGGCATCTACAATGAACAATGACTTATTGCATGTTCTCAGATGGCTAGAAGAGAGGCACTCAAATGCTGTCATTACAAAGAAATATGCATTTTTTGTGATGACAAATATGCTAATTACCCTGGTTTGATCAACACACACAATACATGTATTGAAATATAACTTTGTACCCCATAAACATATACAATCAGCACATGTCAATTAAAAATAAATTTTTAAATAGGGGAAGAATAAAAAAAAAGTATAGAATTTTTACATTTTAGGGTATAGGATAGGAAAAGACCCATCCATCCCTACTAACCCAATGAAGCCTCAGTAGAAGCAATATTCTAAGGTGCTTATTCTCCAAACTGAGTCCATGGAGGCTTTGTTTCATGAAACTCCCTCCATAAAAGATTCTAGGGGGAAATAAACACAGGAAAGAGTCTTACTATATTCTTCTTACAGGTAATATATGTTGCACACCAAAGCCCCTCAATCCTGTCATGAAAAAGCTATTTAACTTCATTTAGCTCAGAATGTACAATTTTGTTGGCTAGGGACCCCCTTTTCCATAACCTGTATTAGCATCTCAGGCACAGGCTTACAGCAGCACTGTGTCAACTGATGTGTTTTCAGCTTTTCCTTCAGCACCCTTTAAAGCTAATGTGGGGCAGGGTCTTCCACCCTTCATGTGCTTTCTAAAGTTTATGTCCATTTTCATATTTATTTTTATTAGCTACCACAAATAAGTGAGAAGAACATGCAGTATTTCTCTTTCTTTGCCTGGCTTATTTCACTTGATATAATTTTCTCTAAGTCCATCCATTCTGTTGCAAATGGTAGTATTCCATTTTTTTTATAGCAGAGTAATATTCCACTGTGCAGATATTTTCCTATCCACTCATCTGATGATGGACATTTGGGCTGGTTCCAACTCTTGGCTATTGTAAATGGTGCTGCAGTAAACATGGGAGTATAGGTATCCCGTCAGCATGATGTTTTCCATTCCTCTGGGGATATTCCCAGCAGTGGAAGAGTTGGGCCATATGGTAGATCTATCTGTAACTGTTTGAGGAACCTCCATATCATTTTCCATAAAGGCTGCACCATTTTGCAGTCCCTCCAACAGTGTATGAGAGTTCCTTTTTCTCTGCATCCTCGCCAGCATTTGTCATTCTCAGTCTTTTGGATATTGGCCATCCTAACTGAAGTGAGATGGTATGTCAAAGTGGCTTTGAATTGGTAAAGGTACATGAAAATCAACTATATTGTATATTGATAAATTAAAATAATATAATAAAAAACCCTGAAAAAAAGTGTTACAAAATGAAAAAAATGAAGAAATAAAAATAAAAATAAAGTTTATGTCCAGTAAAGGACTCCTTGATTCACTTCCTTCATTTAGGAAAGCTAATAGAATAGGAATTGAGTTTTCACTGTCAAGAATTATTAACTAATAGTCTGTGTAACCATATTTGAAAATAAATGTGTAATTAAAAAAAAGAATATAGTTTTCCGACCATTTTTACTATATTTCCAAGGTTAGTAAGAGCTTTGGCGGACCTGAGGAATTAGGTCACTATGTTATTGTGGCCAGGTAATCTTCACCACAGTGTCAACAATATGGCTTCAAAAAACACCTCACTTTTCAAAATAATTTATCCGTTATGTATTAGTTTCCTGGGCCTGTCATAAAAAACTACCACAAACCTGATGGCTTAAAACAACAGAAATTTACTCTGTCACGGCTTTGCAGCATCCAGGCTGTACACTTATTCAACAGCGCACACTTGGTATCTACCAGTTTTCCCACCAATACTATTCTTCTCAGTGTCTGGTTGTGCCTACTCAATTAAGTCAGTGCTCATTTCTGATCTCTCCCTTTATCAGCCTGTCTATTCTCAGATTTTGGGCCAGTTGCTTTTCCTATTACTTCAGATCTCAGAAGAACTCAAGAACATGTGGAAATTTGTAGTTTGTCCCACTTTTCTTCAATGTAAGGGTTGGAGCAACACTTTTTGTCTCTATACACACCTAAGTGGAAACAAGAATCTTACATTCCCTTGAGAATAAATTCATCGAAGGTACAGAATAATTAGTGGTCACATCCCCAACACCTGTGATTCCACACAGCCCTGCAATTAAACAGTACATTGGAAATAAACAATGATAGATCAGAGATTGTAAATATGAAGAATGATAACTTGAGTTATTTTAATTTTTCTGTCACTCTTAATAACTACTTGGAATGTTTAATTGTTTTAAATTTTAAAACAGTATGCTGAGTACTGTAATGTGTAATTTTGGGGCTAAGTACAGATTTTTTTCATGCATAAAGCATTTAATTGAATTTTGATAATATCTTTAAAAATTGAAATGTATTCTTCTGTTTACATTGTTACTTGTTTTAAAACTAAAGAACAAATCAAGAAAATTTTGATTACTAATTATCTTTTTATAATTATTGCTGACAACAATTTTATTATATAGAGGATGGATTTTAAAAAATGATTTTCTCTGGGTGTCAAATAAGCTAGGTGTACCACTGCTAGAACCTCTTCATAACCTTGAAATAGACATTTTAATTTGAACACTTAGTTGGCCCTGCCAGCTAAAACCCATTAGCTTTTGTTCAAATATGTGAATTCCCAAGACCTGCACTGTGTCCTATTTTCCAGTGGATTCAAACATGTTCACTTAATAATAGACACATTCAATTTTTATCCTAATATTTTTGAGAAACTATAGATTCT